ACTTTTGGGAAGGAAAATAAATGAGTGCAGAACTGAGCACTCCCACCCCTGTTTACAAACACAGCTGTTGCCGTATATTTGCAATGCACCCTAAAGCCACCAGCAGTGAGAGAAGGTGCAGGAAAAGGAAAGGGGGAGAGGAGGAGGAGGAGGAGGAGGAGGGAGGTGGTCTCGGCATCTGGAAAGGACAGAGCGCCTTGTTTTTGAAACTGTCAATTCTCTTCAACCCCTATTGTGAGAGCTTCATGCAAAACATCTCGAGCCTTTTAACAGTGGGGCTTGAGAGGCCGCCTCAGATTGAAAAGGAGAGAGAGAGAGGGAGGAGAGGGGAGGGGGAAGCTAGGGCAACGCAAATAATTATATCAGAACAGGCGCACACAAATTACAACATACAATGCACGCACACACTGATTTAGTTCTCTGTAGATATTTGGAAAGTGCCCTGCATTTAGCAAAAATGGAAAGGGGATAAAATCTTGGCCTTAGCCAAGTGTAGGAAAGCCAGTGACCCCCCACCCCCACCCCAATCCCCCCTCTATCGTATTTGTTATTGGAATCCCTAAGAGAAGATGTTGCCAATGCCTGAGGTTCGCAAGGGCCATTTAGCAAGGTACATTCCCGCCCTTTGTCCTCCGCCTCTTGGAAGGGGAAATGGTTCTATGCACTTCCACCCTAAAGGAAAGTTTCTGCTACCCCAACGGATTTGCAGTTGAATTGTGAACTTTTCTGTCTTCGCTTATTCTTTTTCAATGCAAGCATCTTAACCGTAAAAAAACCACAGCAAGCAGCGCTTCCTGTGTTGTATCTGTGTTTCCAAAAGGCCACTTTAGAGCACAACTCCCTAGCACACTCGCACGTGTAAAGTGAAACCAAAATGTGATCGTATGTCTCTTCTGTCTGTAGAAACTTAAATTTATTGGCAACTAAATCTGATACCTAGAGGGCTGATAGTGGAGGATCAACCCATGATAATTTTTTGAAGCACTGAGAGAATGATTGCATAACAGTCTACAATGATTGTCACATCTTTCATTCATTACTTCAAAGTGGAATTTAGAATGTTAAATGAGTAATGAAATTTTAATTTAACTTTAATTTTTGCTACTGTAGTCAAGGCAGGGTTGACTTATGGAGACAATCACTTTTCAAGTAAAGGGTTGTAAACTGCATGTTACATCATTTAAGGCAATAGACCTGGTTTTCCTGAAAGGCCTTTACATGGGTTCCCTTTTGAATACTAAATATATAGTCCAACATTTCCTTTGTCTTCAAGAGTGGAGGGGACATTTCTTCACAACCCTTTTTTCAATTACCCAGCACTGTGATGATATCCCTGGTTTTAAAATCCTCATTTTCCTGAGTGTGTCCCTTTGCTTTGCTTTGCTTTGCTTTGCTTTGCTTTGCTTTGCTTTGCTTGGGAGGGCAGATATTTGTTTGTTTGCTTGCTTTAACCTCAAGAACTGGAAAAGCTTGGAGGGCTATCAAATGATTAATAGAATTCCTCCTTCAATAGAAAAATCGAGTCTTTTTTTCTGGACACTAAGACAGCATCATTTGATAGGGAGGACTATCAGGTGTCCTTAGATTCAGTCATTTGTGTTGCACTCCACAATCCATGTGCCCCCCCCCCCCCAGTATGCCAGGGAAAGTAAATGGGATTGCTCTGGAGCAAACAGGAAGGTATTTATCAGTGGCCTTACAGCTTGCTAGCCTCCATTGTCCATAAGAACCAGTGTACCTGCTCGAATTCTACATGGAAAACCCCCTACCAGGATTCAAGCATCTTTTTTCTTAAATTACTGCTGCTGCTGCTGCTATCTTCTGGCCTGTTTTCTCTGGTAAACCAAATGTTAGTTATTTTACTAAATTTGGATGGACCTTTGTAGAAACAGTTGGCTATTTAGCATTTCAGAAAGTTCTTTGGTGGGTGCAGTTTTTCCACTGTCCAATTTTTTGGGGTTGGGGAAAGAGCGGCTGGCAAAGCCTTGCCCTGCAAGACCTGCTGTTTGATGCTTTTAAGTCTGCAGCTTCTGGAGACGATCACCAGCAAGTAAGTCTCCAATGCTGGTTTGATTTTTCTGTCCTTGTCTTTTTTTTTTCTTTCTTTTCCTTTTTTCCTCTTAAATATCACCAAGTCAAAAGATGAACATCTTTGAACTCCATAGGATTGAAATACTTTTTCCAGCCATTTTCAACAGAGGAGCCAAAGGAAGAAGACCCCTTTGGGTCAGGCCTAGTGGATAAGCCCCCTTGCAAGGAGCAGAGTGGGCTTCCAAGGGAGCAAAAGGACAGAGGACTCAAGGAACTCAGCGTCTTTTGGCAGAGCTGTCAAGAGAAGGCCTCTTGCAAACCACCCCACAACTTGTTAAAGAAGCCAGTTCTGTGATGTCTGAGACTGAGAGATCTATGCAGACTAAATCTCCCCTGTTTGGGAGATATGAATAGACTGTAATTTGTGCAGCTTCCCCCTATCTCTCTCACACGCACACACACACACAACTACAGCAACATTTCTTCCAGGGTTATATTATTGGCAAACAGTCCCCATACACTCTTTTTCTGAGACCCACACGTTTTAGCAGGGCAGAATTAAATAAACATAGAACATCACTACAGTTGCAAGTGTGAAATTAGGAAGTATGCATTTGTGTGTGGGGGAGGGGAGGAAGCATATATTTCTCAATATGTTTCACTCCTGCCGATATTCCACAGAGAGGAAAACCATCACCTCATCTCTCTCTCCTATCTCTCTCCTCCTTTCTTGTTCTTTTTCATTCCTCCCTCTGTGTGTGTGTATTTTCCAAAGAGAGATGAAATTAGCTAATGTCTGCTTGCAATATTTAGAGACAAAGAAGAGTGAAGAGTGGGGGGAGAGTGTCACCAGGGGCAGGAATTAAAAGATTTAAGACAACAACAAAATAGGCACCAAATTTCCATAAGAAATGTTGACTTGGAGGCCCAGGACAAACATTTCAGCGTGATTTTCTTTTCTTTTGTGATTTAGGATCTATTATTATCCTGAGATTGCTCTGTAGGTGAAATCTTTAAACATTTTGATTTAGGAAGAGGATCCATTATCAAATAAAATGTTAGTAAGAAGGAACCAACAATCTGCCCCAAAGTGCTGATTCAGCAATTCTATTGTAACAATTTCTCATTCCTTCAAACTTTGGGGTAGATCTGTATGACCTGGCTAAGCGTCTTCTCTTTCACCCTCTCTTTCTTCATAATAGAACAACATTGACAATTACGTCTAATCCTTTTGTTTTTATCACAGTTTCATATGAAACAACAAGTAACCTATGGAAGCATAATTCCTTCCTGCTTTACTCTTTTTTTCATCCACCCATCCCAAAAAAGTAAGAAGACAATGGATAACCCTGCAATGAGTGTATGAAAACGTGATATATATGTTTTTTGAAACAGTGTTTTAATTGAAAATAAAGCTAAAGCATGCTTTTTCCAACAGTGCAAATTTCCATCATTTTGATTTACTGCTTCCATCTTCACAACATGTTATGCCGGCAGGTCTTACCAAAGGCTCGACTCCAGAAGTCTGCCTACTTCAACGATGTCGAGATTTAAGTGCAAATATAGACAATTGCCTCTGATTGTCATGTGCAGTAAAAATGATCCTGCTACAAAGATAAGATGCTTGGGAAAAGTTAAGTTTCCAGCAATGCAGAGAAAACAGTGACATGTCCTGGTTTAAAAGCCTGAGTTTTGGTGCCAAGGCAGCTACCAAGAGTAGGGGATTCTCCACTGGGAATATTCCTTTCAGTAGGGCCTCTGTTGCACTTAACAGTTGGGATTTGACTGCATTTTCATCAAATTCTCTCCAAAGGGAGCATGAGAACAGAACATTTGCCTGGCTTTCCAAATCTGGAAGAACCACATTGGATGACATATGCACACTCTTCTTTTCAAAAGTAGCGGAGCTACAATCCACCATACACTCCACAGCAACCCTAAAGGCTGCCGTTCCTGTGCGCCACTTACTTGGCAGAAAAACCCACTGGGCCGTGGCTGGGGGACTTGTCTGAATAAGTGTGCATGAGACTAGCTCACAATACTAGCTGGATCAAGTATTGCAGTCAAGGCATGACATCAATAACCAACCTGAAAATGTCATGGTGAAGAGGGCTGGGATTCGCTTACTTTTTAAAGAATGGCATGCCCTAGGTTGTTTTTAGACACTTTTCTTTTTTGTCCTTTAAAAAAAAAATCTGATTCTCTATGTATTGCTCTGCTTCTGAAGCAGCTTTTCTAGTGGTGATCCAGAGACACACAGACCCAACTGCAGGAGTGCAGGCCTTTTGTGGAAAGGAAGCAGGGCTGAAGGGTGCCGATTAAGGTTAGAATTTAAAAAGAAACTCTCTGCAACAGACTACATGCCCCTGCCCCTGTATGCTGCATGACTTGTGAAGCCTCTCTGTGCAACCTCTCATTCAAGAAACTTGAATGAAATTGAACAGTGAGACTTCTAGGTTCCAGATCTAGTGCATCACATATGAATGGCTCATTTGAATTATCATTCACCTTAAAAAACAAAAACAAAAACCCCACCAAAACAAACCCAAACATTTACTTGTAGCAGTTGAATTGAGGTACCGGGTGCATTATTAGCATTTTGAGACAGTAAAGTGTTCCAGCTTTAGCAGATTCCACTGAGGTGTTTGCTTTGTTTTGTTTTAATAAACTTGACACTTTCTCCTGAAATCGTCCGTGGAATGTTAGACCTCTTCCCCACCCCCCTTTCCCCATTATTTACTTTCATGGTAAAGAAAATAGTAATCCAATTTTCTTGTCTTCCCAAAGAAAGAATAGACCAGAATTCCTCAAAAATAATAATAATAATAATAATAATTAAAAAATAAAATCAGATGTGGTGAAGAAGAAGCCATCCAGCGTAGATTCTCAAAGGTAAGGGTGGGAGAAAAGGTGGAGGGAGAAACAAAAAGACACAACAGCCATGAAGTAGGGTTCCCATTCAACCTCTCTCATGAATGAAATTTCCTGAACTTGTGGCTGGGTGGAAGAGGTATTGCTGAGCCTCCCGGCTGCCATTTCCAGACAGGATGAGCCCTGGGAGGGGGTTGGGCATCCCTGGCGGTGGTTAAGGTGTAGGCTGGCAACAAATCCCCATCTAGGCCGACCACTAAGGAGGGCGGGCAGGGAAAGTTGCCCATGAAGCTAAAGGGCCTCTTGACGGCGGAGGCGACGTGGCCGGCCACCCTCTTGCGCCGGCTGAGAACTGTCAAGTCGTCCACCAGGGCGCCTTCGTGGGCCTCGAGGAGCTTTCCCGGGGGCGGCCGGGGCCCGCGGACGGACTTCAGATTTGGTTTGAGTGGTGCCGGGCTGGGCAGGACGGCTCGTTTGCCCAGCACCAGTGTCCGGTAGTTCTTCCTCACCCTGGCTCCGAATTTGTATTCCCCGTCCTCGGGCTTGGCGGCGGCGGCGCCTAAAGTGCATGCGGCGGGGGCTTGGCTCAGGGGGGGCGGCGGCGGCGGCGGGCTCGAGGGGGGGCTGGGGGACTCGTCCGGGCAGGCGGGGTCTTCCTTGGCCGGCAGCAGGAGGCCCCCGGGCGGCTGGGTCGGGCTGGGCGGCGGAGACAGCTGCCGGTCTCCCTCCGCCTTGGGCTCCGCTTCGCCGCCTTCCCACTTCAGGGGGGGCTGGCTCTGGACGGGGAGAGCGCCATACTCGGCGTTGGCACTATTGTCCTCGACTTTGATCTGGGCAATGGGCACAAGGGGCGCGGGCTGGCCAGCGTCTGGGGGCTGGGGGCATTCAGCAGCAGTGGTGGCCACCTCGACCTGGCTCTGGGAAGAGGAACGGCCCAGGCAGGGTGGGGAGGGCAGATCCAGCCGAGCAGCTTCTGGGGACTTCCTGTGCACCCCCCTAAGAGCATCAGTGGGGCTCTCTGCACAGGCCGGAGGAGGAGGAGGAGGAGGAGGAGGAGGAGAGGCGGCTTGCTGGGCTTTCCTCGCCTCCCAGGGTCTTTGTTGTGGCAACGCGTGACTTGTCTTTGGGCTGGGCGAAGGAGTGCCCCCGGCCAGGCCTGGGACTACAGGCAGGTCAGGGACCTTCTCGTCGTCGGGCGCGCTGGAAGGACGCTGGCCGGCCAAAGAGAACTCCTCGCAGCCGGTCCCCTGGCTGAGCTGCCCCAAGCACGGGCCGCCGGAGGGGGGGCTGTGGCAGGCCGCGCAGGGCTCGGGCTTGGGAATCCAGCCGGCTGGGGTGCTCCAGTCCTCCTCGGGCGTTTCGGATTTGATGGCCCGCGCCGGAGCCGGGAGCTGCTCGCCGCCAGTGGGCCGGGGAGGAGGGTGAGGGAGGCTGGTCGCAGTCAGGAGGCTGGGCAGCTTGCAGAAACTGGTGCGCCTGAAACGGATGCTCTGCACGGACACTTGACTAGAGCCGGAGCTGCTGGAATCCGACTCAGAGCTGCTCTCTTCCTCCTCCTCCTCCTCCTCCTCCTCCTCTTCCTCCTCCTCCTCCTCTTCATCGGAGCTCAGGTCGCTGGAATCCGAGGCGCAGCTGCCTTCCTCCTCCTCCTCCTCTTCCTCCTCCGAAGAACCCGAATTACTGGTGCTGGTTAAACTAGAGCAGAAGTCGGAGTCGTTAGCCGCTTGATCCGAATAGGAGCTGGAGTCGGAGTCGCTGCTGTAGGTCTCCGGGAAGGGCTGCGGCGGCGGCGCCGCCACGAAGCCGTTCAAGCCGGGCAGCCTCGGGGACGCCGGGCAGGGCTTGCAGGCGCGGGGCACGAGCACGAGGCGCCTCCCGCAGCCGGGCGGGAAGCGGCGCTCGGCGGCGGCGGCGGCCTTCTTCCTCCTCGAGCGGCACCCCGAGCCCAGCGGGCTGCCTCTCGTCGCGGCGGCGGCGGCGGCGGCGGCGAGCTTGGGCTGCGCGGCAATGGCGGCCGAGGAGTGGTAGCAGTAATGGGGGTGCCTGGAGCAAAGCAGGCTCCGAAAACACGCGGGCTCCGCCGCCAGCGACACGTAGCGGGGCCCGAGGGGGGCAGTTTCATAGTTTGGGGACCCTTTGCCAGGCGGGCGGGCCCGCCCCGGCGAGCTGTGCCCGGTCGAGGGGCTCCAAAAGTGAGGTAGATCCGCGGCCGGTAGGAACGCGCCCGCCGCCGCCGCCGCCGCCGCGGCGCGCCACGCTTTCCTGCTGCTGGCCAGAGGCGCGGCGGCCCCATTCAAGCCCAGCCAAAGTTTGCCCCCGCCATCCTTCCAGAAGGTCGCGTAGCTGGGCTCTGGCCCGGGGGCGGCGGCCTGGACGGGCCCCCCGGGGCCCCTGCCGCGGCGACGGCCGCCTCCTCCTCCGCCGCCGCCGCCGCCGCCGCCGCGCTTGGTCCTGAGGACCCGCTCGGTCTTGCACGAGGTGTACAGCGCCTCCACGTCCTCGCGGGAGATGAGCGTGCATTTGGCGGCGTGGAAGGCGATGGAGTTGATGGCTTTGAGCTTCCGCAGCTCCTCCAGGTCGCAGTGGTGCTTCTTGACTTTCAGGTGGTCCATGCGCTTGTGCACCGTCGTGCGCGGGATGTTCTTCAGGAGGTCGGTGAAGACCTGCGAGAGGGCGAACATCTGCTTGCCCTGGATCACCAGGTAGCCCAGGCGCACGCCGTCCACCTCGTCGAAGCCCGACTTCAGGTCGCCCATAGCGCGCGCCTCAAATGATCCCCAGCATTTGGGAGCATCAAACGGGAGAGCGACGCCCCCTCCCCACACACACGCGCCCCCCCCACACACACCCCTGTTGGAACCGTGAGCGGCAGCGGCAGAAGGAAAGGTGTGTGCGGGGAGACGCGAGGCAAATCCACACAGAAAACTATAAAAATCCTCAGCCAGGTTTGGGTCTCAAGGCATCCTGCTGAATGGAAAAGAACAAAGCTTGTTATTCCTGATCAAACTTTGGAGGATTAAAAAAATCAGCAGAGAGAGAGGGGGGGAGAGGGAGGAAGAGAAGGGGAGGGAGGACTAGATGGAGAGGATAAAAAAATCATGTCCCGGAAAAACGCCTTTTGGGGTGGGGGTCTGCCCCCGGTGTGTTTCTCGACGGCAGTGATGCGGGCGGGCGGGCGGGCTACCTGAGCCCTTTGGCGGGCGGTTTTCCTCCCTGCCCAGCCAGGATAAAGGAATGCGAGGAAGGGAGCCGCCGCCGCTGCCGCCGCCGCCGCCGGAGAGAGAAGAGCCTCGCAGCCGCCCTTCCCGCCGCTGCTTTCGCTCCAAATCAAATGACAGAGTGAAGTGAGCTGGTCCGGAGACACCTTCATCAATTAATTCCTCTAAAGCCAACGCTGATTGGACACTCCTGACAGGTGATGCAATAAAAATTGATATTCCACCCCCTTCTCAACCCCCCCCGAATCTCCGGCTAATTAGCATACTCTTAGACTGCCACCTCCCCTCCCAAAGTAAATAACACTGTTAGTATATAAATCTTTCTATTAAACAATCCGGAGCTTGCAGCCAAGCCAGAGAGCGCTCTGTGGCGCAGGCTACGGAAGGAGCGGATTGGGACGCCCCGTTCTGCTGGCGCGGTGTTTGCTTTTAAATCTGAGGAATAAATCGAATTTAGAAACCGGATTCGGGCTGCTTAGTCGCATATATGAGGGAGGTTCTTTCTCGGTACTGTAAGAATTCTAGGGACGTATGGATGAGGTCGAGGGAGATTGTGCAGAGTAACCATTTTAAGTAACCGCTTTAAAGGGGCGTTCATTCTGCATTGCGGGGCGTCAAAGAGTCTTCCTCGCCTGTCGCTGGTCTCTTCCTTTCTTTGGCTTTAAAGTTTTATTCTCCTTTCAAAGCTGGGTCTTAATTTGCTGTCATTTGATTATTCTGCTGTTAACGACTCGGAGAATGAGAGATACTCACGTTCGCGAGATTGGCCTCTTCTTTCCTTCTCGCTCCAGTCCCTCTTTCTCTCCCCGATAGCTAAGTTGTTGCTACTAGGATTCTTAGGGACTGTGTGGTTATCCTGAGCTGCAGCTCCGTGATACTGTAACACTTTTCTCTGAAATTCTGCCTGTAATATTGGGGGGAGGGGAGGGGAGGGGAGGGGGAGGAGGGAGGGGGGGAGAGATCGGGACGTGGGCTCACGTCAGACCCATAACAAAGCATAGATAAGCCAGAAATGTATCCACTTTTCACAGTTCACGGTGCTGCCTCGCAAGGTGGAGGGCTCCCCCTTCCCAGTCCCCGGGTCCACGCCAGGACTGCCTGCGTGTTGTTTGCTGCTGCCAGGGAAGGGGAAAGGTAGCAGGGGGCGGGGGGAGGAAGAGGAGGAAGAAAATTGTTACGGGTCGGAAAGATGCTTCTGGCTTATGAACCGCTGTTCTCGCAGGCAGGCACTGAGAGAGAACTTCCTGTCGCTTCGGCGGGTTCGATTCTCTTTGCCCCCGCTTCCTTCGCTCCCCGACGAACAACCTCCAAGCGGGGCTGCAAACTTAGATTTAATTATACTCGTTGAGGTCGGGGGTTACTGTGAAGCTGGTCGGTGCATAGCAGGAGCGTGAGGTCCCTCCTGCAGCCAAATCACGCGTGTCCTCTCGAGCATAGGCTGGCACCCCCCCCCACGCCCTGCTGTCAACTTGCAGGGGAGCCCCGAGTACTTTGGGCCTCATGGACAAAATGGAGAGGGCAAGTGCCACTCGCACACTTTAAGCCCCCCGCCCCCCCAAAGAGGAGACGGTGTTCTCCCCTCTCCGCTGTAAGGTAAACCCTTTAACCTTTCCAAAGACGCTTAAGGTCTCTTCTGTCGAAAGTAGCCATCAGATACATTAACACCCTAGAACAAAATGACAGCTCACCCTGACAGCTCGGCTCCAGTGCCCAATTAAGCCGCAGAACCCCACTTAAGCGCGTTCGAATGGGCGTCAAATCGGCTTCGACCCAGCTGAATTTCAGTGGATCGAGCCGTTAATCGATTTTCAGCTAAAATCTGGCCAGAAGCACAGAAGTCTATGGTCTCCCAAAATGACACGCATTCGTGGCTCCAGAAAACCACGGAGATGGGGGATGAAAGAACAAGCCACGTCTTCTTATTCCTTAGTTCTCTCCTTCCCGCACCTCGCACATACCGGGTGACATGGGGGAGAGCTCCTCTTACTCCGGAACTGGAAAATAAACGTACATAAACAAGTATAACCCCCTCCCCCAATTTTTGTAATTAATTTTCACGGCCGTTTTGCATAACTAGGTAAGACGCAGGCAATCTCTCCTTCCTTCCCCCCTCCAAAGCCACAGTTCCTCAGGAATTCTGCAGAGAACTGGGGGGGGGGGAGCATCCGGAAATTAAGGAAGTCCACTGAATCGCGTCAAAATCAGAATGGGATTTGAAAAATCGGCTCCGCTGTTGCTCCCTCAGCTCCCCAGCTATATAATGCGCGCTTTAACTTAACAGGGCGACTCTTTTTCCTTGGAGCTTCAAGGCCGATTTCCCCATTCAGGCAAGCAGCTACATAATGTGAAATTACAAACACACGCACGCACGCACACACCCCTCTTCCCCCGAGAGAGGCAGAAGGGAAGTATGGCCCACGGAGTCCCGATGCTGCCGCGCTTTCAACATCACAGAAAGGCGGCGGGGAACAATGCATGCCTCCTCGCCCTGCCACAGTTTAGCTCCGCATCTGGCTGGTCTCGCCTCCAGTCTCCTCTTCTCCCCCCCCCCCCCCACGCACAGGAGACCCGCTCCGGAGCTGCTAGCAAAGTTTCGAGGAGAAACAGCTGCTTGTTTTGTAAAAAATTGTTGTTGTTGATATCAATTCATAAATAATTATTAAGGACGGAGGAGGCGGGGCTGGGGAAGAGGGGAAGAGACGGAAGGAGGGCATGGAAGGAACAGGGAGAAAATGTATAGGATTAAGCGCGAAGGGCATTTCGGAGCCTTCCCTTTTCTCTCCTATTTCCAGGCTGGCAGCAGCTCTCCCCCCCCCCCCCCCCCCCCCCCCCCACCCCCACCCCTGCGACTCCTTTTTCCCGCCCCCTGCGTTGAGGCCGAGCCGGGTAAGATTCCCTGACGGCGCGATCCACAAAGTACGTGAAGCCCGAGGTCCTGGACCTAAAGTTCTGTCTTCTCGGGCTGTTTGCTGCTCTGATTAACGTGGAGAGCTAAAGCCGTGCCTCGACCTGGTCAGGTTCAATTCCCTTTTGATTCCTGTGTAGCGCAAGCTACAACCAACCGGCTCTCCCCTGCAGCAGCGGGGCACCCGGGAATCAATGGGCGGTGGGGATCTCCCCCTCCCCTCCCCTCCCCCTCACACTCACACACACTCACACACATTTGACCACAGTTGTCGGTCTAGTTGGCCTCTTCAGAAAGCGTCTGCGGTTTTTGCTTTCTTTAAACCCTGACGTGAAAACATTGACGTTCCTCCAAGCTTTTTAAGGGTCGCTGGAACCCGAGATTTTGACCAAAATGCAATCTTAACTTCGTCTTCTTCTTCTTCTTCTTCTTCTTTTTTTTTTAATTTAAGGCAGGCTCGCGGCAAGGTTACTCCATGTGTGTGCGCGCGCGTGTCACGGAGAGAGAGGCGGATATATAAACAACAAATATACAAACATAAACCCAGCCCGAGCTCTTAAGGAAACGTGCTCCACACATGCGAAAGACGCGCTCGCTCCACTCGGGAGCTCGTCCCCCAGGAGCCTTTTGTTCCTCGGAAAGTTCCTCCTCTCGATTTGGGGCTGGACGGGGGAGGGGAGGAACCTGCCAGTGTCCTCGTGGTCATCAAAACACGCGGCATGTCCGGGATCTTCCTTATGCACGTCGGGAGTCAACCCTTATTTAAACAACACGGACTGACGGAGGGCCCCTTTCAAGCAAAGAAAGGCCAGAGGCGGTCCGTGGATTTGCATGTACACCCGAAGTGAATTGCCATCAATAGCACGCAACGCTTAGTTTCAGAGTATTAACGTGAAAATCGCTCCTCTCCGAAAGCCTGGAACGATATTTATTATTGTTATCCTTAGAACCCGGATTTTCCCGGGGAAATTGGGGCGTCTTTTTCTCGGTGGCAAAGTTATGTGCGTGGACTATTTCCCGGGTGAACGAGAGGCGCAGGCGAGGGCTCGTCCACAGAGGAAAAGCAAAGGCAGCGCTTTCTCCGGCCGCCGAGGCTGCTCTGCAGCCCCGCTGAGCCTCCTCGCTCGAAACCAAGCTGATCTCGACTGCAGGCTTAGGCCCGCTTTCCTGAGATCAGCTCGGCTTGAACTGAGCGGGACTTGGCAGGCATGGCAGGGCCTCGATTTCTTAGACTGACATCAAGACTCGGAAACAACCATACTTCTGCAAGCACGGGAACTTATTTCCCAGCCCCAGGTAGGGTTCGGGCGGGCACACAAATCCGCCAAAGAGGTTAGGAATAAATCGCGGAGCACAGAATAGCACCATCTCCAGTCGGGAATCGTACTGAAGAAGCCCTTGCGGTGCTAAAGTCGTGATATTTGCTCTTCTTTCTTTAGGCAGAACAGACCATGTATCCTGGTGGAGAGATCTCTACACTAGCTAAATCAGGAAGGAAAAGCACGTGGACTCGAGTTGTTTTGCAGCCAAGTCCCAGAACCCACTGAAGCGGAAGCACGAGTTTTTAAGCAGATCCAAGGGATACCTTTTTGAAGAGAAGAGCACCGAATGAACATCGCTCCAGATAGCTGGGGATGGGCCTTGGGGAAGTAAATGGGAACAAAACAGATTAAGATCAGTGGGACTGAATCGGGTCCCCTCTTTGTAGGCTGGTTTAACTGGGCTGTGGATTGGAAGGGCATTCAAGACGCACACTTTCTGCAGCTCACCTCCCCCCACTCGCCAGATTATCAATCAAATGTGTTCCTTTTCCCATGGAGTGAGCCTCAGTCTGTAATGTATACTCCACCTTAGATAGGATTTCTTTACCTTAGATGATATTTCACTCTGAAGCACTCATGGCCAGTGACAAACCTAATTAGAAAATAACAAGGAAAAATATTCTTCACCCACTTCTGTAAACCTATTCCCACTGATGTCAGATGGTGTTGTTTTTAACTGGTGGTATTCATATACATCCATTTAGTCACTGTTTTTGGGTTGTGAGGAAGGGTGTGTGTCCATGAGAGGGGGGGTCTATATTTGAAACCGCCCTCTTAGGTTGTGCTTTGATATATTTTCATTGTATTATCATGATGATGTTTAAACAGCTCTGCAATCTAGGCTGACCTCTTCTTTCTGGGGCAAATAGCTCAGAGCACCATTTACAGCCTTTTAAAGGTTTACTTGTGAAATGCAACAGCCTTTTAAGCCTCTGTTTCACTTGGTCTCTGCATTTTTCTTATCCTGGTGTATTTTTACACAGAAACCATCTTTTTCTTTATGATTAGCAATTTCTGCTTAGTGTAGCAAAGGTTCTTCAAGGATTAGCCTAGAGAGAACACTGATTATGTATTTTCTTCCAGAAGTAGAAATTCAACCTTTTCCAGTCTAAAATAGCTATAGCCAATCTAACAATCTACCGCCCCCGATAATATGTCCACTGCAGTTATGGGGGATACAGGAGAGATGGGGCAAAAAGCCAAAAAACCTGTTGCAAAGGGTCAAAGAACCCCCCAGGACTATAAATTCAGTTAGATGTGACTGCTAAAAAACGCAATGCATATTTTTTAAAATGACAAATATAGATCCTTTTGCTTAGGGTAATTAAAGGAGGGGGGTGTTTTGGACACTTCAAGACCCATAACTAAGTTCTTGTAACATAACATCAGGCTTTTGAGTTATTTCTTTGTAAACAAAGCAACAATTTATAGTGCTGTTAAGGGCTGCTCCTTCCTCCCCCTTTCCCAAGCTTTGTTTTCTCACATGGAGTATCTTCTTGCTCCACAGATATTAGGGAAAGACGGACTTTCCCCTTTTTAATCGTCAGGTTTTTTTCCCTAGAAACTTTGCTCATCCTTGTTGTTTTTAAACCTCACTTTTAAAGAAGAGGTTTTTTGGGACACAAACTGCATGCCATGTTGCCTACTGACCCATAATCAAAATGCAGTGACCTTCTACCCTTTTTTTGCCCCTTGACCCATCCTGAATTCAATGCAGCCTTTATAAATTTGCAAATCCTTGGACGAAAAGGGGATTTGGGGGGGGCTTTGTTCTGTGAGGGTCCTAAAAGTGTGCATTTTTAATTAGACACGAAGGTGCAGTAAACAGAGTCCCGAACACACTTGTGTTTCTTACATTACAGGTGGGCATATGCCTAAATTAGATTTCAAAAAGATATTGCTTCCCAACGCACTGCCCCCCCCCCCCAAAATTGCCACTAGAACCAATGCACAGAAATTGAAGCAAGCAGCAAAAGGCAATTGCAAACATACGAGATTCGAAGGTTATGGATTGCACCAAATTAGCAATGTGGTACAAATCACTTCCATGACGTAAGGAATGGCCAGACCACAGCCTTCCAGCGCTCCTCATCTCCAAGGTCTGTGGGGATCTTGATGACCCGGGGAGGGGAGAGGGGAGGGGGAGAGGAGAGGGAGATTTGATCTGAAGCTACAGGCGCATTCCCTTATCTCGCTTGCTATCAGCCAGTTTAAAGGACACCATAATTACGATTGCGATAAAAGCAAGACAATGCGTGCCCATTTGTGCTGAATAAATAAGGAATGTTTACAACTCTAGAATGTTTCAACGGTAATTAAAGACCGGCAAAGAAAACCTCTCCTTCTACCCTCATACTTATTTACTCGATTTTGTTTTCATTGCAACCTTTGATTCTCTCCCCTTGAAGCAGAACAGTCTTTCAGAAGGAAATGGAGAGCTTCGCAAGTGGGACAGGAAAGATGCAGACATCCAGCATCATTTTGTTTGTTCTGTTTATTCATCCAGTAGCACATGCAGAGAGATTCAATGGGAAAACCTTTCAGTTTAGCATCACCTATTCCCTCAAAGAGTCGGCGGTTCCGGTTCTTGGAGCACCCAGTGGAGTCCCAAGAAACGGGGCTGGAGGGGTCATCCTCCCAGTTTCGTCCCACAAGCAGGAGACAGAGATCCCAGAGGGCGTGGGTGGCAGTCAATGCCTTCTTTCCATGTATCTGTAAGAGCCCTGGAATCCAAAGGAGGCTGAAAACTCATCTCATTTGCTAAGACGCAAGGATCAATTCAAATATCCATTGTATCAGCAAACTTCATCATAATCAGATTAAAGGAAGGTTTAGGCTCTAATGCCTGCGAGGCATTAAACATCAAGTGGAATAGGTACAAATCAGTGAATGGACTTCTTTTGTCATTTGATCAGTACATTTAAAAAACATTACACCAACACCACTATTTCCTTTCCTTTTTTACCTTCTCTAAAAGAACGGTGGTCTCATTCTTCTTCCGACACGTTTTCCCTAGCCACGACCATAACGTAAACTTTCCACCCTGATTTTCTGAATCCAGCTCATTTGTTTTTATTTCAAGATGCAAAACTTTTTCCACGTGGGGCCAAAGCAGATTCAAATGCTTGCCGGGTTTGTCTTTTAACATATAGCTCTTAAGGAACTAATAAGTACAAATTCTTTCCTTTTGGGGGGGGGGGGGCGAATTCTTACCAGGGAAAAATACCTTCCTCATTTAATGCAATGAGGGCAAACAGAGAGAGAGAGCGAGCGAGCGAGCGAGCGAGGGGGGGGGAATCCGAGTGTATTTGCGGTCCCTAGTTCGTTGTAGGCCCCCTTTCCTTTTGAAAGTTTAGACCTTCAATACCCTCGATTCTACTGGCAGAATTAGGATGGCCTTGGAGGGTCCTAAACGTGACCATTCACTAAGGCAGGGGGGGCCTACAGCCTGCAACAACGTGCTCGGCAACTTAATCTTCTTCCAAAAAGGGAAGGAAGCGCAAAAGAATGGAATACAAACTCTCCTAACATTTCTAGTCACTTTCCAAGCTGGATTGTGTATCTTGCAGCCGATGGGAACGTCTGGATTTCGCAGCAAAAAGGAGAGAAGGTAAGTGTTTTTAGTCTTCCAGCCGCCAGCTCATGAGAGAAACAATGAAAGAACAAAGGGAACCACTTCTCCCTATGAAGCGTTTTACATTTTCTTCCTCCATTTCTCATCCAGAAGGCACTGGAGAGCTTGGGGTGGGGAGGAAGAAACTCGCAGAACTTTTTTTTGTGTGTGTTTTTGGAAAGGGTGTAGAGAGCAGTGCATTGGAGAAACAAGCCAACGGCGCGCCGATTTAAATTAAAAAAACACGACCACTGCTGCAAGATTTCCACAGCCGCCGCCGCAGTAGCGGCTCAGCCGGAAACAACGAGTTCTGAAACTCCTTTAAGAGTCTCCATCGTCCTGGCCGCCAAATTCTAAAGCATCTCTTTAAAAAAAACCACCACTAACAACAAGCCGACCAACCGCGAGTAACAGCACCGTCGTTCCTTCGGGTTTTGGGCGAGACTTTAAATTAAGAGGGCTTAGGAGCTAGGCGAAGGATGAGAGGGGAGAAAGGCTGCTGGATTGCGTTTCTTGGTAACGATCTCGCAGCCGCTTGGCCAAAACAGCCGGAAAAGAAGGCGAGTGAAAGAACACTGAAACTTTTCTTCCCGCACCCCCTTTGCCGGTCGTGAGGAACGGGGAAGACAGCAAGCAAGCACGGGGAGGAGGGCTGCGTGGGCGCGCTGTGAGCAGGCACCGCGTCTAAACGAGCATCTTTGCCGCCTAGGGCTTCGCTCTCGCCGTTATGCTTCTTTTTGTGTCGTGCCGGGCAACGTGGGGAGGAACGGGAGGCGAAGCGAGCCGTCCTCGCTGGCAAGCAGCCTCGTCAGAAAAAGAGCTCCTCGCCTCCGCGGGAGAGGGGGGCGCCCCCGGCGGCGTGAACGCGTCCCGGGAGCCGGGCTGCCTCGCCTCCTCGCCTGGCTCCCTCGGAGCAGCCGCAGCGGCGAGGGGAGCAGAGAGGAGCGGAGCCCCATGTTTACAGCCCTCCTCTTCGGCTGCATTGTCCGGGAGCAGCAGGGGGAGGAGAGTGAAGAGAAGCGGCTTCGGCTGCTTCTTACGCAAATGCAATGCATCGCTGCCTCCTTCCCCACCCCCCAGGGAGGGAGGCGCAGAAAGCGAAGCCGCGCGCGGAAGGTGCTGCAGCGAGCGACGTGCGGCGGTGGCGGCGCTGCTGCGGCTTCCCTTGTCTGGGCGCCTTCCATTCATTCATCCGCGCGTAGAGGGCGGAGCCTCCAGGCCGCTGACCTTTCACCCCCTGCCTTCTTCCCTTCTCCTCCTCCCACCTCTGCCCGGCGTTTCCTTTTGACGATCGGCCGCTTGCTTACCCAGAATCCGCCGCTCCGAGCACGCTCGTGCCGAGCTCGAGCCTCTCGTAATCGCCCCTCTCGGCCCCACCCAGTTCGTTTCTCCCTGCGCGAGGCTCAAGAGTCTCGGGCCGACAGGCAGCCCCTACCGAAGGAGGCCGCTGTAATTCCCCACGTGGACGCTGGGGGCAGCCGTTCACAAGGGAGCGGCTACCTAGCAGCCCCGGGGAGCCTTCCTATGGATGATGGTGATAATAATTAACACTATTATTATTAGTAGTAGTAGTAGTATCTCACTAACTCTCATACAACAGGCCCCAAAACGGGACTTGATAGTCCCACTGATCAGGAAGGGGGGGTTTACTTTCAAGTCACGTAGTCAACATCGGGGGCGACTGCCTTACATTATTATACGTACTTAATGATAATTTCCGACAGCAATAATTAATTGCATTTATTGAACACAAGTAATGCTTGTCATAAATCAGGATTATTAACAATAGCATCAATCGTAGTGTGGTCGATAGTGGGGCTTCACCAGCCTCCGCTGGTGTTTGAAGGAAGTTCCTAAAAGTACAGGCAAAGAGTTTAAAATTATGGAATATCTAGGGGCTGCAAGATAGAAAGGGAGTTTGCACCCCGTACAGTGAAATGCTAGAATCAAAAGTCCCCACATTATACCCCATCACCAATATTATCGGGGAAATCTAGTTGAAAGGAATTGTCTTAGAGAAACATTTCTATCATGATGAGTCATTGCAATTCCTACTCAGCATTTCATAGACCACAGTCAGCCGCCTCCCCCTTTCCCCAAAGCCATCTCTTTGAAGCAAAAGGTTTAGAACTCTTTGTTTCTGCTTTTCTTCTTCCTGAGTGTGCCTGTGGTGGTGGGGAGCAGCAAAACAGGTCAGTGGATGACTTGTTTCCCCATCCTTCAGCTTTTAGCAACTGTCTCCTCGTCCCTAGAAAACTAAAACTCCTGTGTCACCTTCGTCTCCGTAAAAAGAACATTTTAAGGGGGCACTGAGAGAGTCGAGCCTGAAGACTTTCATCGTGTATCTTCTTGGTCTAAAAGCAGGCGGGAACACCAAGAACTGTAGCACCGCTCTTAAAACTCCCCCCCCCCCGCCGCCGCCTTTATCTTCCTCCTCCTCTTCTGCCTCCCTGAGAGGCTGGAGAAAAACACAGAACAGAATTCCTCTTCTCGATCTTTCTTTAAATGAGGATCTTTCTAACTTAAAGCTGAAGCCGCCGTGGGGGTCCCTTCCTTGCTACGCTTTTCTGGCCTTTCACATCTCCAAAAGTTACCAAATAGCACAGGACTCTTGGCGTTCAGCTACACGTGCAACGGCAACAGCATCCGTAATGTCTTCAGGTCATTGCCTGATGTATTTATTTAAAATAAATGCTTTCTGACCTGGGATTTCTCGGAGAGAAAGCCGCAAGTGGCATCAGCCAGGCTGAGATTTCAGAGATTCCTGAGACTGAGGGGAGGAAGAGCTAATTCTGGGGACAGCCTCCGAAATCGCAGCTCTTTTTATTTAAAAAAAAAAGTAGCATGAAAAGATGACCCAAACAGTGACCTGCATGCGGACTGGAGGTTGCAGGGAGGGCAGGAATCCTTTCGAAGGGCGAGGTGGAATGATGCTGCTGCGTTTCAAGACAAATTTATCGTGCCAGGTTTTCGAGGAAAAGCATTGCCCCATCATACGAAGGAGTGTAAAGGCATGGCCATACGACTTGCTTGGGCGATTCTTGCAGGCATCTTAATCGATGTACAAACAAATCGTGTGTGTGTGGTGGGGGGAGATTCCCTCGCCCCCCACCTTAAAACGAAATAAAAGGCTGACACTCCATGGATCGTCAAAATCCAGGGAAAGGTTATTTTGGAGACTCTTGTCCACGGGAGGACAGGAAAATTGGGAGTTGTGTGTAGCCTGGTGGATATAACTGACGTGTTTTATGCTCCTGAAAAAGTACCTTTCACCAAACACTGTTTGAACTGAGGTTAACATCAGCCTTTTTTTAAAGGCTGTTTTATGATCTTGATCAAAAACAATAGAATTCTAACAGTTAGGGTGCTTATCCACATGTAAAATGCAATGCTACAATATTTAAGTGGAATTAAACTGCATTCTCTTCTTCCCCACTCTGCCTCACGCATTTCTACCAGCTCACATCACAGAATTTCAATTCAGAATCCCAATAAATGTTTTTATGTAAATTAACTTTCTGATCCCACATATATGATTTGGAAGTAAGTTCCATAAAATGTCTGATATGTAAAGACTTTACATCTCTGATTTATTCTTGATTCCATTCATTCTGGAATGTTTAAATGGTTTGGTGTGTGCATTGAAGACTTTGGTTCCTGTCCTCTGACAGTTGTTTGGATATACAGCACAAAGCCTTAAGCAGTGACCAATTGCCA